GTAACTTCCACAACCTTCACCCGAGTTGTCTAACATCAAAATGAAGCCCAAAAAACAAACACACAACAAACAACACCAACCAAACCAAACCAACAAATGAACTAAACCAACGATTCCGTGTCTCTCATCCCACCGATTCCCATCGTCTCTCCCTCCCGATGAAGAACGACACCGGTGGCCTTCGACGCGCGGCACGACGCGCGCGCGGCACGAGGCGCGCCGCCTCAGGCGTTTTAGACCTCATCCGCTGGGCTCGAAGCTGCTGGACGCTGGACGCCTCGAGCGAACGCGGGGCGAAACAAGGGTTGCCACCGAGCGGTGCCACAGGCGGGGTTCCAAAGAGTTTGGAAAGCAGTTGGAAGAGACGTTGAATTGAATTCAATGAGAGCAGTTTCTTTTACATGGTCAATACAGAAAGAAGTGGTTTTGGACCTGGGCCTCTTAGTGGGACGGGGGTTTGGCACACCGAGTCGCACGAACGCACAAACGCACGGTGTGTACTGATGATGAGAGTTTCCACCTGAGTAGATGGCTTCTCCCCCATCCCTGGGAGTCAAGTCGACTATAAAAAGAATGGTCTGACTAGGGGAACTGAAAGGACACTTCCTTTACTCCAGCCGGTCTAAATATCGTCGAACTGGACTTCTAGAATATAGAACACATCTTCGGTTCTGTGCGATCTACTCTGAAACCATCTGAAACCACTCTCCATGACATGCGTAGCGCAATCACATGTACGGTTTTCAAGCCCTTGGCATATACTTGCTTGGGTTTAGACCTGTAGGCTTTGGGTTAGTTGGTTTGGATACTTGGATTATGGAGTGTCTTGGACGTTGGATAGGTAGGTGAAAGGAACAGTCTTGGGGGTCTTAGATATTGAATTTCTCCTTGGTGGGTCCTTCATTGATTCACCTTGTCTGAGACTGTACTACCCACTCTTCTTCCTCGTCTTCTTCGCAAAAACCAAGGCCTTCCTCGTCTTCCTCTGAGGAACATGAGGAACGTGGCAAGCGCTAAGCCAAACGAACAAATCACCCACACAGGTCTCCGCAAATACCACGTCTCACCCGCTTCTCATCCACAAAACCACACTGGTTGTCAGTTGTTTCAACTCACGAACGACCAAATATTCGTCAAGCGGGTTCAATCATCCCGAGTAAAGGTTGAACATTCTGAAAGTTAACCTTGCACTTCATTTTGGCTTTAACAATTCATGAATTGCAGTTTGCAGGTTCAACAGAATCTCTGAACCAAATTCACGACCGGTTCCGCCCCCCCGTGCTCTACCGCCGTGCTATCGCGGTCGCGGGCCCGTGTGGCGCTGTCCCCCGGCTTCGCCTCGTCCGTGTCCATCGGAGAAACCAACGTCGAACTGTGCTCCGAGGCCTCCTTGGGCGATCGATGCGTTTGGTCCGAAGCACGTGGATGTTGATGTTGGCAGAGCTGGAGGCACTCAAAAGAACACACGATGAGTGTTTGGCACACTGGTTTGATCGTGTTTTGTTGGGTTACTTCATCATGAGGCTGGACGATGTTCGTCCAGGCTTCGAACAACGTCTGTGTCGAGTGAATTCTCCACTTCCGAGCGACGGTGGCTTTTTCGGTGCGTCGTGCCATGTCGTGTGAGAAATCGACGTTGAAAAAGCCGGCGCAGACGAAACACACCCTTGGCCCTTGGCCCTGCTGGTTTCGTGAGCATACTAAGCGAGAGAACTCGTTCATTTGTTGGGATGAATCTAATACAGTGGCCACATATACCTGGACCTTCAAAGGGGTGTCCAATGGAGATCCCTAGGTAGTGTAGGGGCTTCCATTGGTGACCCCTTTGAAGGTGCTGGTATAGTGGATGGCGAGTTTCATCTGAAACAATATTCACCCTCATCTGTTCGTGGGCCTGCACAAACATAGCAGCTTAGCACGCTCTCTCTGCTTCCTCTCCATGTGGAGCGTCCTCAGATATCTCAGATGAATACCATTCCCTAGGGATCCACATACCTTCTCAGGAGGTACTTGGGCCCTCCAAGCCTACATAAATAGTCTCCAATCACCTTCTGAGAAGGTACTTGGATTTGTAGGGATTGAATACCATGGAATACCAAGCCATTGGTCTGAAACAGGCGGGCATCTGTTCGTAGTTCCTGGCAGTCTTCATCAGGGTGAATGACTGCTCGTTCTAATCTTTCTCTGTCTTCAGATGTGTTTTTCGCGTGGCCCAAGAGGTCATCCTTTTAGGCACGCAAACCTGTTGAGAGATGAAAAATGGACACTGGACAACTTCAATTGACTAAGGGATTTGATCTTGATTCAGAGGCTAGTTGTTCTCTGGGCATTTGGCTAAGGCTACTCGCAGCCCAACATCTGAATTAAAGCCGGAAAACCACCGCAACCGCCAAGGAGTACTGCATCCTTTCAAAAAGAGACGGACAAGAACCACGTTCAAAGTGCAAACCTCTAAAACTGTTCGGTGTGGACATCACTCAAAACATCTCAAGACTGTTCGATTCTGCCGCCACAGCCAGCATCCTCAACGTGACTCCGCAGAACCAACAAAGCGATCGCAAGCTAAGCATTGACTGCGAGGATTGGGGTGGGCCACACCAAGAAGGTGTAAACACCAATCCTGGCAGTCGAATCCGGAATCGACCGGCAGCAATGGGCGATGGGCTACGGCCAGAAAGGCAGACCCACGAGCATGTGGTCCAAACGGTCGACACGAGTAACTTTACGCGCAACGAGTGGGGGATTTCAGGGGCCAAGCGATGAAGAAGTGCATTCTCCAAGCGATTCGGACCAGTTGTTCATCTTCCGGGGTTGCGAAGCGCATGGCTGCAGACCTACCACGTTCATCCGAATTGATCGCCACGGTCCTTGTTCCGATTCCACGCCCACGGCGTCACCGACGTTGAGTCGGGTCGTCGGGTCCGCGTGGGGAGACGCTGAGAGGGTCGGAGTCCGAGCGATTCGTCGCCAGACGTCTGGCGACCAGACCACACCAGACCATGAAGTCAAGCAGTCAATCGATCAAACACCTTGACCAACACGTGCTGGGCCTTGCGGACACTGGTATTTGATCCATAGCAACACCAACTGATTCCAAATATTCAATCCCCTCATCGTGCTGCACTGGCGCACTAGCCTCCAATGCACTTGCATAGCACGTCTTGATGTTCCCCATGGCTTTCCCACTTCTGACATCGGAAGGAGTGCCGTTTCTCCAGGACCTTCTCCCCTGACTCGACACTCTGACTCTCTGAAGGGTGGGTCGAAATTCGACAGTGTTCCAATCCGACGCCGGCAGAACAGTATACCTTCAAAACAAAACTCTGCTTTGGATGACCCACGAAAGATCATGGAATTCATCTCTGACTGTGTCTACCTCCAATTCGGGTCATATCTTCCGTGTCCTTTCACACAGTTTCACCCTTTTCACCTCCCTGCGCACCTGGGTCCCTCACAAACCTCCCTCCCTCGCGGCTTCCCTCCAGGTGTCCGCACATCGGCTTGCGCATCGGACAGCAACCGGAGCGCTTGCTCCTGCGTGCGGAGGACCGTGCTGGAGCTGGACTGAATGACCCCCAAAGGCGACCTGTCTGGGACTGCCATGTCGGACTGCCGGGGTGGTGCCAGGGGGGTCTGTCTGGGGCGGCAGTCCTATTCCAGTCCCATGGAGTGTATGGGTCCTGGTTTGCTCAATTCTCAGTTTGGTCATAGCTCGCTGGTTCGAGATTGAGCCGATGGAAGATGGACAAGAACAAAAGCGCCAATGCGACTGGTCATACTGAGCAGGCAAGGCATCCTAACGCCACTACCCCCCCTACCATCCCCCCACGAAGCGTTGACAATACATGTGGTTGTCTGCAACCAAGGAAGCCAAATGCAGCTCTAAGAAGTCTGGAGACTGAGTATTTTTCAGAACCAGTGTTCCATCAATAGCTTCTAGGACCTTCTGGGTGTGATTCCACATTCTTCGCCCACAGGCGGACCCTCAAACCAGCTACAGGACATGTTGGTGTCGGTCCAAGACCGAGCAGCGAACGGGTTTCTGTCCCGACTCTGGAGCATCTGGGTGGATGACGTCAAGCTGCCGATGGTGTTGTAGTCCAGTCGACCATTTGAAAGATGCATGCATGACTAGATGCATGCTTGACCTGGTGTTGTAGTGAAATCACTCCAAAACAGCTCCGGTTCCTACAGAAGTGACCGTAAATAGGACCCGTCACCAGGAGTACCTATATAGGATAGTCTCTGACCCCACCTCTGCCGCTTCCAGAACACTCAAGCTCGACATTCTGCCGCTCGGATCTGGGCGGAAAGGGACGGAACACCACAAAAGCCACGGTTCCGACCAGCTTCGCTTTGGGTTCCCCTCCAGCTTCGTCCGTGCTTCGCCGCTCAACTGGCCGTAGGCCTCCGGTCTGTCCGCCGCGGTGCCGCAAAAAGGCGGTCTGTGGGGGGGAGGAGACCATCCGAGACCATCCATGGGACTGGGTTCACCGGGCATCCATGGGGTAAATGGATACATCAAGGCTCATGAAGTATAGGTCTTAGTGGATTTTTTGGGGGCCCTCTTCGAGCTTTTGCATCATGAATTCGAACTTGAGATTTTCAGGTACTTCCGCTGAATGCATCTAAATGCTATGTCTCTAGCAGGAAGTCTCACTCGTCCGGTCTGGGGATGGTCTCCAGGTGATGGTTCTCCGTCTCTGCCGTTTCGTGTTCCAACCTGACGGTGGGTGTCCCAAATTTCTCTGCCATACACGTCCGAAATGGATATCATGGTGCCGTGGGGTGCCTGGGAAAGCACTGATTTGGAGGGATTTCACGGCTTTTCACGGCTTTTCACTCCACAAATGCCATTGATTTGGAGGGAAGCTATATCCTGCTGCTGAAGCGACTTCCCTGGCCCACAGGTCGCGGTCTTTCAGGGGACACCGTCAAGACTTGGATGTGGCCTCAGATTTGGACCGCGGGGTAGATCAAGACCCAGTAGCAAGTGTCCAGTTCCACGTTGGAAGTCCCATTCTAAACAAAAAATAACAAGCGCATGGGCATGGGGCATCCCAATGCGATCCACTCGGCAATACCAACGAGTGAGCCATCTGAAGTCCATCTTTACCAGCAGGCTCAAACCATTTGCTGTCATCCGCCGACTTTGGGCTCTGCGCTAAGCCTTGTCTTACCCTTCGGTTCGGTGCAGACTGGTGGGAGCGCGGGGCGCTCCACAGCTCCGCGCTCCATGGCGCCAAACCCAGCTCCGCGCGAAGGGTCTTGGCCACAAGAATTCAACGTCCAGCACCGGCGGTTCTGTGCTGAAGCTGATCTATCTGCAAACAGCACACAGGCAGAGATCTTCTCTCCAGCCTTTCTCAGCCACAGCTGGGAATGAACCCAGCTGGAAGCGCGTTTTTTTCGCTCGCAGCTTGGATTTTCTTGAGGAACCTGGACAAAAATGCTCAATGTTCCCCATGCCAGGGAATTTGAACCTGTTCAAATAGTAAAATCCCCATAAATCACCTGATTCGCCAAACCAAGACAGCAATCAACAATATCAGGCATCTCACTGAGGCACATCACGACAGCATCATCCTTCGATCGTTTCATCCGGAGAAATCCAGCACCACCGGACATTCCTCGGAGAGTTGGGCGTTCAGAGTGTGGAGAAAATCTTCGTTCTGGTGAGGATGGAAATGGGGCCTCAAGCCTGAGAAAAGAATATGACAAAGGTGCCTTGAGCATGGAATTGTCTCAGCTTTTTGTTGTAAATAGGCAGTCTGATTTGACCTTGCACCTAATTACCTAATGTAGCCTTTTGCTATTCAACGTCATTCAAGTGGGGATCAACACTCCCCCACAAATAGCAGGCGAAGATCCCCCAGTACATGGTGGATTCTGAATGATTCTCACTTCTGGTTGGACGTGTAGATGTGAGAAGTACACTCCCTGGATGAAGATGAAGTCCGAATACCAAACAGTGTAGTGGTGGCTTTCCACTTTCGGAAGCCCCTTCGCCTTCAAAGACCATTTAAAGCGTTCGGTTGACCTAGTTTTAATGTGTAAAATCCTGAGGAAAGAAGTCGAAGTTCTTCGGTAAAGTCCATTAAATCGTCAACTTAGTATTGAAAGTACTGTATTGCCAGTCAAACACTATTCTATTTAGTATTCTATTCAATTTTATACTGCATCAGTTCATGGACACCTTGTGCCCATGGAATGACCTTTGCACTAAAGGACTTTATACTACAACAGTCAGAGGGCTGTGGGCTGAGCCATCGCCATCAAACCGCCAGAGTCGAACGAACAGGTCAGAGTCGGCCAAGCATCGCTTTCGTAGGCCTCTCTGCCTCGCGCATGACAAGGGGTGAGAAGCGGAGGGAGTTTGGTCGGCATGTTCTGCTGGGGAAAGCAGAGTGTATCCAAAAAAAATGAGGTCACTTTGTACGCTGACTACAATAAAATATACGGATTTTAAAATGGCCGAACAGGTATTTTAGTGTACCTCTGTGAAAGATCTGCCGGGGCCGCCCAGCCATTTAAACATGCAGAAAATACATACGGAATGCACTTCCTAGAATATTTCACAAAATCGGAAAATATATAGAATCAAGCTCAACAGGGACTTCTTCCCCCCGCTGATTATCCTTATGAGGGTGGATGCGAAGTGGGTCCACGTAAGGTGGGTCCACGTATGGTGGAAGGCCCACGTAAGAGAGTCCACGTAAGGGGCTCCACGTAGGAGGGGTCCACATAAGAAAGGTCCACGCACGGAGGGTCCATGCACGGACAGACAGTCAGGAAAGTTGATTTAGCGAGTCTAGCTAGGTAGGGTCCACGCGTGGGGGAGGAGGTCCATGTAAGGAGGGGCTGGCCTTATGTGGAGGCCTTTGGCGGGAGGGCCTTACTTGACCTTAGATGGGAGCTTGACCTTATAGGGTCCACGTAAGAGTCCACATAAGGGGCTCCACGTATGGAAGGTCCACGCGTTGGAGGGTCCATGTACAGTGGGGTCCACGTATGGGGGGTCTAGCCAACTAGGTCCACGCAAGAGGGGTGCGTAGGGTCCACGTAGGTGGGTCCGAAGGAAAGGGTTCCCATAAGCAGTGTGGAGGGTCCGTAAGAAAGTCCACGTGAGGGGGCTCCATGTAGGGGGGTCCACATAAGGAGGGTCCACACGGAGGGTCCACGTAAGGAAAGTTGATTCAGAGAGTGCACCTAGTAGGTAGGGTCCACATATGGCCTTATGCTCGAAGGGAGTTACGTGGAGGCCTTGGCTGGCCTTGGGGGTTTTGACTGGCCTTACACGAGGCCTTGGGATTGTTGGAGGCCCGGGGCTACCAGCGGCCGTCGGCCTGGCAGCCAGGAGGTGATCCTTCCAGACACGGTCGGTCCACGAGAGCGTGGGCCTGGTGCAGGGTCTACGGCTTACATATAGTCCATGAGTTATACCTAGCAATCTCAAAATCCAAAGAGCGTCAAACGAAAAATTCACAAGCAATCCACCTCAGGTTGAGGTGCTCTCAAAAGCGTGGTGTACGCGACACACTTCCGACAGCACTAGAGAGTTCCAGACATCTGCGTCCATCTAACAAGCGGACAGCGGCGTCTCCGAACGCACATGACCATCCACCCCAGTAGTTCCCTTCAACCTGCCAAATGCATACTGCTTGGTTCTCGCCTTGCCCTTGCACTGCGGGCGGAAATACTGTACGAATTGCTCGCGCGTGTATGGCCATCATCCATCCATCTGAAACGTGCACGACCCACTCGTGGTAGGGGAACGACCGCTCGTACGGCGCCCGCGTGCGGAACAAGGCCGCGTTCCCGCACTGGCGCTGCATGTCGACCACGGCCTGATGCCGGATGCGCCAATTCAATACTGCGGCGTTCAGGGGCACTTGCTTAGCACCAGCCTGAAAGGGATATCGTGCTGCCTGGCAATGTTCTTCTTCGTCCCCACAGTCGTCCAGAGGCTGAGGTCGTACACGTAGTGGAGGAGCTGATAGTCCAAGCTGTATAGCCCACGACCGGTGACAATACCTTGCGCAGGAAGCCCCTCTTGATCCTGCCAAGCTTGCTGCGTCCGATGTTGGGGCCTTGCTCTCCATCCTCGGGCTCCCCGGCGTCCTCCACACCGGCGACCATTTCGAGCATCTGCTCCGTCACTCTGCCATCATAGCACCCAACACGGTCAAACGCAGCCATGATGCACACGTGACAGGTCAGCAGGTCAGGTATGCACAGTTGACAGTGAGTGGGCACAGCTGAGCTTGGGCAGTAGAAGTCCGCAGAGTCCACAGACAGGTTCATGCTCCACCACATAGTTTATAATAGGTGTTTGCACATGTGTGCAATATCAGTGTCTTCCTTTGAGACAGCACACTCCAGTCCCTCCTCTTCCAAGAACCTCAGTCCTGTGTGAGAGTGAGTGGGTGAGTGTGAGTGTGAATTTGAGTGTGTGTGCGAATGAGAGATAGTGAGAGTGAGAGTGGGACAGTGAGTGTGTGTGTGGGACGTCGTCACCTTGTCGTCCGCTCGATCGGTATCTTTTGGAGTTGCTGGCCACCTGAAACCTTTGGGACCTCCGCTGGATGGACCTCCTCTTCCTTTTAGGTTTCCTTACCTGTACCCTTAGGAATTGGAACCCTAGGCCGGCGTGTGGCACCGCATTCAGTTCAGTACACAATATCTCAAGTGTGTGTGTGAGTGTGAGTGTGAGTGAGAGAGTGGGAGTGGGTGTGAGTGTTCACGATTGGAGACACTGTTATGTAGGTTTGGAAGGTCCAAGTACCTTCTGAGAAGGTACTTGGATCCCTGCTGCGCCTGCCACGAAATCTGCGCATCGAGGTTCACAAAAGTGCTGTACCTGCCACGAAATCTGCACATCGAGCGACATCTGCACGTCGAGGTTCACAAAGTGCTGCACCTGCCAAGAAATCTGTAAATGAGCCACATGTCGAAAAGCTACAACTCACTGCGCCCGTCTCGAAATCAGAGCTCGTCGAAGATCACCACCATGTCCAAAGTAGTGTACCTGCCACGAAAACTGCATTTCGAAGTAAAACAGCTCCGATCCCTTGCACCTGACACGAAAAGTCGACTTTGGACCACGAAAACGCGAGGTTTCCCTTGCACCTGCCACCAAAAGTGACCACCATGTGCGAAAATGCGCACGGCGCCACAACGAGAGCGCTGTCGCTAGCAGCACCCGCCACCGGCAAGCAGATTTCGCGAGCCTGCGCAGTCGAAATGCATGTGGACGATTTCGAGAGGTATATGAATGTGCTGTAACTAGCAACGAATCAGCCGTTCACTCCCGCACGCCCCAGCGATCTAAGCACAGCTGCTTTACACCTACCGTAAGAACCCCTAAGTGTTTCCACACTGTTTGGGGAACAAAAGACAAACAAAGAGTGGCAGCGGTTCCGCTTGGATTCGATAGATAGACAACCAAATCAGCAATTCTTTTCATTCATGGTCTTGGAAGGGAAATTGGCTGTTGCTTCGAAAAGATCCGGAGGACCTCTTAGAGGTTCAACAGCACTGAGAAACTAGCCCAACAAACAAACTCATCTCTTGCAAGCTGGAAAAGACACTTTTTCCCCACCTCTCAGGTGAGGGTTGTTAGATTTTACGTCAGCCCCATCTCCTCCTCCTCGTCCTCCTTCTCCGCAACCTCCTCCTGCGCCTCCTCCTCGTCCTCGTCCTGTGCCTCCTCGACTGCCACCATCTGCTTCTCATGTTCCCCACGACCATCCGCGCCCAGTGTTCCCTGCCGGACCTCAACCGCGAGCTCCAGGCCCAAGTGTTCCCTGCCGGACCTCAACCGCAACCATCCCCGCCCAGTGTTCCCTGCCGGACCTCAACCACAGCACACAACCACAACCACAATCACAAACACAATCACACCACCAGAAACACAACCAACACAATCACAAACACTCAACCACAAACACAATCACAAACACACTACAAACACAACCACAAACACGCAACCACAAACACACAACCACAAACACAATCACAAACACGCAACCACAAACACAATCACAAACGCACAACCACAAGCACAAACATAATCACAAGCACGCAACCACAAACTAACCACAGCCACGATCACAAACACGCAATCGCAAACACACAACAACAAACACAACCACAAACACAATCACAGACACACCACCACAAACACAATCACAAACACACCACCACAAACACATTCACAAACACACCACCACAAACACAATCACAAACACAACCACAAACACAGCCACAAGACGCAACCACAGCACACAACCACAAGACACAACCACAAGACACAACCACAACACACAATCACAGCACACAACCACAGCACACAACCACAACGCACAACCGGAGGACCCAAGCAAAATTGAGAACCACAAAACTCACGACCGTGGCGACATGCTCCTCAGCATGGCTTGTAAACACATGATTGAGATGTCATGGTGGGGATCACTCGAAGCAAAGTAATTTCATCTATAACTTGCGGATAGAGTAAAGTTCATACACTTCAAGAACGTTGCACCTTCCCGCCCTGGCCCAACATGTCGCAAGACACGCTGCTTCAGAGCAGCCTTAGGCCTTCATCCACACCGCAAGCTGCGCGCTAACCCGTTGGCGCCGCTTTCAACCGTTCCGCTGGCTGCGCCTTGTGCCGTCCACCGATCGACGAGCTGCTGACGTGTCTCCTTCTCCTCCGCCAAGACGCAGTAGGGGTGAACCTCACGCCCGTTGGACGATGGACGTTGGGGAACACCGCGGTGCGCGGAGGCACGGGGACGGGGTGGGAGACACAGGCGCGGACATCTACAGCGAGCAAAAAAGCCGCCTGACGAGGGTGACGGGTGGAGAAGATGTAGCGATATGCAGTCTGGATACGGTTCTTCTTGGATACCCTGAGGCTAGAAGTCCATTCTTTGTTCTATTTGCGGATGTCGAAAGCTCTGCTTGTGACACACGGCTAGACGCCCAAAAAAATACAAAAACGCCCCACTGAAGCAAAGGAAGTTCCTCTTTGGGTCACCTAGTCGGACCATTCTTTGAATAGTCGACTGAACTCTGAGGGGATAGGTTACAATGAACTTCTAAACCAGAAACCACCACCCGAAACTCACCCGCCAAGACTTAGCACGGCCGCCAAGAGTCAAAACAGAAAGAGACCACATGGAAGGTGGCGCTGATGGGCCTACGATGACCCTTGTTCAAATTTTCAAGAGACCTTGGGTCTATCAGTCTATCCTATGACGAGTAACGGTCGATGATGATGGGGCCTGGCAGCAGGCCTTTCCATCTCTAAAATAGTGATTTGCTTGTTTATTGACTGTTAATAGGACAACCCCCCCAAAAGACAATCTAATTATTGTGATTTCTCACACTTGTCGATGGTCTGTGACTTCAGATCTCTCTAGATGAGTTTCGGAAACCCGACACCAGCTTAGCTTCTGTTCCCTTTCTCCATTCTTCTCACACCAGCTGTGCTTGGTTTGAGGCCGCGTATGACCTGCAGTTCACGTCCACGTGGTTCACTTAGAAGGAGCATGTGCCTACTGGTGTGGATGGTTCCCACCAAACGTCTCTTTGTGTTCCAGCAGACCGACCGTGGTCTGTTCAGATGTCCAGCTTGACGTTCGTCAGAATTCGTCGGATGTTCGTCGGATGTCTTCCAAGTTTCAACTCAGCGACGTAACTATCCCTAGGGATCCGTTTTCGTACCTTCTCAGGTACGGTGATTGGAGGAACTGTTATGTAGGTGCCCGGAGGTCCAGTCGTACCGAACCTGAGGGTATGAACCAAACCCAGCATTCGACCCACGTCATTCCACCACCTTCACCTGGTGAAAGCATATAACATGATCATCGCAAGCCAACCCTTTGCCGAGGTTTTCCACGTCGCCCGCCTTGAACTCATTGTGACCATAGCCCCAGTCCTGTGGTGTTTCAAGCGAAAATACCCCAGACTGGAGTGTCACTGTGCTAAGAAGGAGTGTCACTGTGTAGCAACACAGTCCAATGGCCCTGCACTCCCTCAAACAATAATGGAAGTGGAATATGGCCTTTGGATGACCATTTTCATCTACAAACAAGTGGTTTCCTCTTCATCCTTGGATTTGAAGATGGCGACAACCAACACCTGTGGGATGATTTGGGACCTTCTTCAATGACCTCCTGACCACTGACCAGTGTGGCCCCTGGCCATGATTCTGACAGGGGGTTCAGTGGTTTCTGCCTGATTCGGGGTTTATACCTGGCAACAAGAAGAAAGCCTCCATCTCCATGATTCAAAAGAAACACTAAGGCATCCCTGGTCGAGACTTCTGTGGGGCGGTCCATAGCGAGTTCCTGGTCTGAACGGGCCAGCGGCTGAGTGATCAGCAGTCTTTTGGGGCAGAAATGAAAACGCTCGGTTACTAGTAGCGTTCTTGCTAGTTACTAGTCTAGCGATTCCCTTTGTTCCTAGTAGTTTCTTGCTCCGTAAGGCCAGGAGTCCCTTTTAGCGTCCTTGCTCCTGTTTGTACTTAAATAAGGATCCCCTGGCCCTGGCTGGGTAGACTGGTCTTTGATGCACACCCAAATCAGCTTGCAGAGTTTCACTGCCGGCAGTTCCATTCCGATGGTAATCCTTTCAAGGCTCTTAGATAGACGACAAACTTCAAAGGAAGACCTACTCAATGAGAAATGGAGAGAGCCGAAATTGGGGTGAAATAAGCTAGTTTTGGGGTGGTTCTCTTTTTGTTATCTTTTTGTTCTCAGGGGGGCCGAGTCCAGCCTTCGTCCGTCCCAACGGGTGGGTCGAGCCGAGCCGAGTCTCCCTGCATCCGACTCTGGTGGAAGTTCGGAGGTTTTGGTGTCCAAAAACACCCAGCAGGACTTGGTGTCCAACCTCCCCGGGAGGGATCCGCCGACTCGTACCTTAACCGACCCGGTTCGGTACGACTGGACCCGACGTGACGTTTTGGCACCTACAGAACAGTGCCTCCTTGGCTCACCGTACCTGAGGTTCGGTACGAAAATGGATCCCTAGGGTCAACAGGTTTGCCAACTCCATCAATTCCTGGTTTTCATGCTCATCTTCCCATCTTCATTCCCCATGAAAAGGGGTTAGACAGCTTTGCGGAACAAGCATGCAAATCATGTGGAGATATATAGTATTGTATGACATCATAGTATGTAGTTGGATCATCTTATCCCCACTTTGCATCTGTTTGTTGATGATAAACATGTACACTCCCTGAAAAGATCATGGAACTGGAAAAAAAACACATGGAACAATGATGGTTGTACCAGCTGCTTGGCATTCGCATGGTCCCATGGTCATCCGAGATATTATTGCTTCGCCCATGTTCCCCGAAACGCCCTTTGGATGGTAATCGGACCGGTCGCTACCGGTTCCTCACCAGTCCCCCCTTCACCCCAATCGGTCCATTGGGTCGCCCCATGGTCGATTCCTCCAAATGGTCGAAGAAGCCATGGTTGCCGCAAAGAGCACACATGTAGCCCATCCATCCTGAACGAAACCCGCTAAACACAGGTACGAGTAACTGCGACACCGTCCAGGGTTTGACCTCATTGCACGGGAGTGGGTCATACCTGGATCTTGCGAGATCCTGCGACCCATTTCTGCCTCTTCAAACCAGTAGAAGCCAAGTTAGGCAAACATGTGGCAGTCGGCAGGTCAGATCCAGGTATCACAAACACGACGGAAATGGTTCTGAGGACCACCAAAAAGAAGTTCTCAGGACCGGGAGGGAGAAGTCAAGGCATGTGGCGACAGGTCAGATCCAGGTCCAACTTTCCAACAGAGGTGGGTCAGAACCATGAAGAACCCTATAGACTATCCCGACTATCCCAGTTGGGTACCCCAGGTGACGGGTTATATAAGGTCACTGGCTACCTCTCTTGCTTAGGGAGACTGGACCTGGCTCCCCCCAAAAAGCACCGGCTGGACCGGGGCGACCAATTGGCACGCCGGTCTGACCCAAGCATGGCGCACGCCTCTTGAGGTCTGTGCCATCTACTCTGAGGTTTTATAGTCTCACTCACTCACGAAGTGGAATATGGAGACCAAACAGCTAGACAGCTAGTCTAGCAGTGTCCTCTGCACACAAGGGAGTTTTCCACTTCCACTTTGTCAAAGTGTCATGCCCTAGGGATCCAGTTGTACCGAACCTCAGGTACGGTGAGCAAGGAGATTCTGTTCTGTACCAGCCAGTCGGGTCCAGTCGTACCGAACCGGGTCGACGGATCCCTCAGAGGTCGAGCCGAGATGGGCTCTTCAGCGACCGGGGGCCACGTCCTCACCGGTCGCGATGAAGAGCCGACTGTGATGGATCGAAGGACTCCGGTCGGCGGGACGTGATCGATTGGTGGATGGTGAACGCACTCGACTTGGACTGGCTGAAGCAGGTCATACCAAGCAGGTGTGGAGTTCCAAGCATGAACTCCATGATCAGCAGCCAGCAAGTGTGCGCTGCCACGGCTGTTTGGAGGTCTCTCACCACTGGGAGGTCTCCCACCCAAACAAAAACACCTCTTCGATTCCCCACACACAACTTGCGCAAATCCAAACGCGCCTCAACAGTCCTTCCCCATTGGGGGGCACTGGAGGTTAGTCTATACATCCATGCTACGTACCAAAACATGCCCACCACTACATCCTTGGAGCCCATGAAATGGACCGTTTGAAATCACTTAACGCTCGGATTTGGGGGGTGGCTCATTTCCTGGACAGATCAACGCCTTAGCCTGGGCTGCCCGGACGATCAACGCTGAAGCTCTTCAATCGATGTGGGTGGCCTGGGCGGCCACGTGAACGGACCGCGCGGCCAGCGCCGCCAGGCCGCCGATGTGTCGTCCATTCTCCGTCCCCCAACATCGGCCAACTCCTCCAAAAACGTTACAGCATTTTGGCTTTTGTTCTGTCCAAACAAAACTAAGTGGATCCCAGGCAAAGCACTTTTATATAAGGTACCAGGGGATTCTATATTACTTATGGGTTTAGTCGGAACCACTGAGGACTCCCAGCGACATCGTGGGAACTGCCTGGATGCCCTGGGAACACCAACTCCGAGACCCTTCTCCCGGCCGCTGAAAAGCTTCGAAACCACCGCGTTCCGGTGGATGTCCGACTTTTGAGGAGGAAGCCAGGTCGAAGGAGTCGGACTGAGGTCTAGAGGTCTAAGGATTTCCAAGGATTTGAACCGGACATTCCTTGAACTACATTCCTTGGACCAACGATTTGAAGGATGAACCCAACGAACTACATTCAAATTTCCAAGGATGTCCAAGGATTCATCATGTTTCTACATTCCTTGAACTTGAACTGGTGTTGTGCTGACATGTGCTGACATGAAGTCTGTAGGGTACCTACTGGTGGTACACGACTGGGGGGTATCCCCTCTATGAATCATCAATAAGTCCAAGGCCATCTTTGCAACATGTATAGCAGTTGCTTCGGGAACGGGGCGCACTCTGATCACCGGTGGTCGCCACACCCCCCATGACCTTATCACCCCCTTAGCAGTTCGGTGCTGCCTATCAGTTCGGATGGTCTGAACTCTGAACTCCTTGGGGATCTACCTCGTGTCCAGGACAACGACCTCGTCCCAGGCACACTCGTGCGTGATCTCCTCGGGTAGGGAAGCTCTCCTGGCGGGTGCCCTGCCCCCCCCCGCATCCGCGACGGAGACTTCAAGGCACCGTCTGACGAGCTCGGGGGGGGGCCATTTGGGGACTTCAAGACTTCAGGTGAAACAGATTGAAGGTCGACCTGTTGGTGAAAGTGTGAAGTGGCAGGCGTTTTGAAGAGGCCAGGTTGAAAAAGAATCTCCAGAGGTTTTGAACAAGGAATGGCGTCCTCTGTGTTTTTCTGGTGGGATGCTTTACTTACGTCCACGGAAAGGCCACATGTGAATATCTGCCATGGTATCCAAAAAGAAGCTTTGGCAAACATGAAACATCATCTGCGAAACCCACCTCGCACATCTACGTGTTGACCTGCCTGGTAAACCGGCATCCTACAGGGTCACATCTCCTTCTGATTCGTGACAGGGCACCAGAAACGGGTCACATCCTACAGGGCCTGGCAGGTGACCAAACAGAGACAACGGCTCTTGGGGGTCCGGTCGCGGCTGGCAGACTCACCAGCGATCGGTCGACTGAAGTCGACACCGTGGGGGTGTCTATTGCCCAGCTTGCTGTGATTCGGGGTGTCCATGTCTACCACCCAACTCCTGGGGGTCCAGGTACTCTCAAAGAAATGAGGGCAAAGAACATCTGAGTTGCTCCTGCTGAGAAGATTCTAGACGAAGGGTTCAACTTGGGTCTATCCCATTACCAAGGCCCAGTGGATGATAGGGCCTGGTTGGCCTTTCTCTAAAGTAGTGATTTGCTTGTTTACCGACTGTTACAGGTCAGTTCGCACAGACCCAAAGGTTCGTTTTAAAGACACACATTGAACCAAACATCTGCGGCCCACTCGATTCAGCTGCTTCGCTCCTCTCGATGAGTTCTTCGATGGCTCGTTCGATCTGGCAGCAGCAGAAAAATGCGTTTTGGGGCGCTCGTTGAACGAAGCAGCACTCGGGAGTAGCGAAGCACTGGAAGTCCAGTCGACGATTCTTGAAAGGGTTGACCTGATGACCTGTAGTGCAAAATCCTTAGTAAAACAGCTGGTTCTTCGGTAAACGGCTGAAACAAATACTCATCATCCAACTTGTGTATATGACTCCGATTAGAGATCGCTTTTTTCAAGACATGAAACCAAAAATTTAAAAGAAACTCAGCTCTATGGTGGCTCACCATTTCGTGCTATTAAAAGATTTTAAAAGTCTTCAGCCACGCTTTTGGGGTACCTACATCGATGTAACTTCACAAAAGAAACATCGGTCAAAGGCTTAGAAACGACGATCCGGCAGAAACGAGGCAGGGCACGGGGCAGTCACATCTTCACTGCAGTGCCCAGGACGAAACATGGAGTGGATTGCCAGTCAGTGCTCGTTTCACCAAGTGTTCACCATACCAAAACCTAGACCCTAGGATTCCTGGACCACCATAACTTTAATTAGGCTGAATCCCGAACAACGTTTTCTAATCAAGGATATTACGCTTCTTAGTAAAAGCCCTGAACCAGGACCCTCCGGGGTGTCTATTTATAGCCCCAAAAAGCCGTGATTCGGGGTGTCCATTCACCACCCCTTGAAGGCCCTGGAATAGTCCACATCTTCTTATAGTAAAACGTGGTTGTTATAGTGACCTGAGAGTAGATGGCACAGACCCCAATGTCGGTGGTTTATATGGACCCCTATATACTAAGACATCTTGGGGTCTGTGCCATCTACTCTGAAACCATTGTAATGTGGTAAAACCTTCTTGTTCTGCATCCAAGTCTCGGAGAACCACACCCATTGCTTCGTCCGGCAGGCAGACTCCAACCCGTTGGCTCCGCCAACCCACCGCCACGATGCCCCCCGGGTTCTCGGGGCGCCTCGGAGCGGCAGCTGTAGTGATCGTCGTACTTGAAATCCCGCATGAACCTTCGTGCCGCGTGCGTCGTCCCAGGTGCGGTACGGAGCTTCCCCCGTGCGTCGTTCTTGCGCGTGCGCGCGCGTGTGGGGCGTGCGTGTCCGATCTGTCGCAGACCAGTCGCATGAAGGTGCGCCCCTTTTTGGCTGGTGTGGGAGTTCGACTTGGGCGCCAAAGAGTCCAAGGAGACATGAATGAACGGCGTTGGTCGATGTTGCTTATAGTTTATCCGAGCGTGGCCCAACTTGGTCTTTGAGTGGCTAACCATCACTTGGTCATTTTCACTCTATGATGGTTTTCGCCCAGTTCCAAGCAGAAAACGCATGGCGAAAAGGATCTCACTTGCCCAAATTGGAAGGACGTTTCCGCTCGGAAGCTGGGTCGGTTTGTCTTTCGCCAAAAAAATGGGTGTGTACTTCAATAGGGTGTGTACTTCTGCAAACGGGATCTATTTCCATTCTTCCAGGAGGTCGAAGTGGCATACCATCTCCCTATTATAGTTTCATATATTATACATGCCTATATATAGAAACTCAAAGCAACCAGAAAAAAAACACGTGTCACATCGAATGGTGAACTATAGAGTTCCTGACTGCCACCTCCCTCCTCTCCTCGTCGCTGGAAGAAACTGTTGTCAAGACCAACCTGGACCGACCTGATTGGCCCAGTGGAACGGAGGCATCCGCTTCAGACCTGGTGGACCAATCCGAACCGTCAGAAGCATCAAAGCCAGTAAAACTCGCTGGGCCAACAAAATCCTGCAGGGCCTGCAGGGCTAAGGTTCATAGCCTTAAAGCCTTATTATAACACCCTTTTTCTAACGTTCTTGATACATGTTTGAGAATCATTGAGAAAACCACTCCCAACCAATGAGCTTTAAAGGTTCTCCACTCGCATGGCCGGACTTCAGTCCACCTACCATCCTCAAACCGTTTCGAACGGTTTGGGGCGGAGGCGCGAAGACTTCGTCGGCCCATGCAGAGAGCAAGGACCCGACCTGGAGAAGCCACCCAGTGCAGAACAACATGTGGTTCATGTCCCATACACGACACATGGGACTGAAATAGGACTGCCGCCCCAGACAGACCCCCCTGGCACCACCCCTGGCCGTTTCTCGGCAGTCCTATGGCAGTCCCATGGAGCTTCTGGGTGTTGGGTCTATCCTATTAATTACCTGGGCCCAGTGTAGGATGATAGGGCCTGGTTGCAGGCTTGGTCAAAAATCATGTTCATTGTTTACGGGTCCTGTTACAGGTCAGTTCGACAGACCCGCTAGGTTCATGCCTTTTCGGTGGTTGCCCTGAACCCATCGACTGGGACACGGGGTGACGCCACCGGTCCCACCAGTGAAGCCCAGCGTCGAGTTCCATGCGAGAATTGGAGCCCCCTCAGGTTCAGTGCCCCACAGCTCCCTTTACAACGCGCTTGCCCCAAACGCGCGTGCCACGTGAGGGATCCGCCCCTCACAACGGTCAGGGGACTCCTCGAAGGTCCTCAACGCTCCATGGCAGGCGCGCAACTCCTGCGGCCGCTGGGCCTTGGGAACCTGGCGCCGCCGGGACACCAGCGGAACTAGGGCAGAACACGCCGGCACAGAACACGGCCTGCAGGAGGGTTTGGGAGGTTTGTCTCAAGGCTTTTTGGAGTTGCTGTCGGATTCATGGAAACCATTGTGGTTAGTGATGGGTCTCTGGCGGTTCAACATGAAGAACATCACTGTTTTTTTGTTTGTTTTCTGTGAGGTTCCAGGTAGGACAACCTGAGTGACATGAGTGACACAGCTGGCACCACATTCCAAAAGCATCCGAAACCATTGCATCATCAAACCCTAGGGATCCGTTTTCGTACCGAACCTCAGGTTCGGTGAGCCAAGGAGGTCACTGTCATGAAGGTGCCAAAACGTCACGTCGGGTCCAGTCGTACCGAACCTGAGATTCGGTACGAGTCGACGGATCCCTAGGGAAACATGTGGGTTTTCGTGGCATCACGCAGTGACGATGTTGGCAATACCAGGAGATAGTGGCCCACCGCGTACCCCAGTACCCACCAGCATTCTCTACATAATTCAAATTGACCCATGATTGCATGGGCTTATGCTCAGCGAACATGGCGCCTTGGATGACCATGGCGTCTTCCTCCAAGTAGGTGGTGAACTGGACTTCCGTGATGATTCCAGGGAGTGTCGTTCTGATCGATTCTTGATACAAGAAGGCCAACAAAAATCTTTCGAAATTCACCCCCCCAGGATGCGGCAATATTTGTTGTAAGTCCTTCATCTATTTCTTGGGGGCTTCAATCAACCAAATTTCAAGTGGAAGGATTTACCAGGTCTGGGACATACCAAGGGTACCATATGGCCATCTATATAAGAAACACCACAACTGTCTGATCTTAGATGGTCCTTGAATTTCCTGGCCAGGACACTTCACCATTCAACTGAACCCGACTCCACTGCGTTTCCGCGTCGCGCACGTCGTGTGTGCCTTGCTCCACAAATGTGCATCTGGCAGCCAGGAACACTTGCCTCAGCGTTGGAACGCGCGGTGGCACCACAAAAGTTTTTTTTCGAGCAAAAAACCTTGCCCCTCTCCCACACACAAATCCTTCGCAATTGGGTTTTGTTTTAATGTTGAATTGTTCCCCAGATGGTGTTTTTTGTTGTGATTCTATAGGGTGTCATACTTCTCAATGATTGAATGCCCGTATTCCGTTTTGGTTTGCTGCGGCTGCTGTGCCGCTGCTGCCTTGTCTCCTCGTGTGCCCGCGGGGCTTGCTCGGCAAGCAGGAGGACGGAGACCCATGTGGCTTGGAGGTTTCCACTGCGGCGGTGATGAATCGCAAACATGAACTGATAAGAAGTTGTTACGGTGATCCCCATCGCATTTTGTAGGATTTCTGAGGGGTTCTGGAGGGGGCATGATTGTTTCTTTTAGCTGTCCCAAGGATGCATTTCGGTCTTTGTTTTTCATCTGAATTTGGTTCGTTTGAAACCCATCTATGTTACAGTCACATCACATCATTGTCTTGGCTAGGGCTAGGCTTTAATGAGGAAAATCAATTTGGACAATTGATTTTGGCAGCTAAATTTGGCAAGGGCCAGCCTTTAGTGAAGAAATTCAATTTGGAAAATTGAGTTTGGCTACTATATTTTCGAAAGTGCTAGCCTTTAATGGACAGGCAACGCTTCGTTTAAAACCAGCGAGGCAATCGGATTTTAGCAAGGTAAAGCCTTAGCGGTTTACTGAGCCAGGCACCGCCTTGCATACAACCAAAGGCTTTCAGCAAGGCAATCAGTTACACTAGTTGGAAACGTCTGGAAGGGAGAGGAGAACGTGCTGAGAAGAGAGAGGAGAGCGCCAGAGAACAGGACAGGAGATCTAGACACATTCTGCACGTGAGAAGCTGGAACATCACTTTAATGGTTGCGTTCCACTTCAGCTTTGGCATGTTTTTGGATACGGTTGGAAGGGACATTTATCGGATTTGAATATACGGCTTCAACTTGCCAAGAACTGACAGTTCTTGAAATCCTCAACCGCTCTTGCTTGCTTCGAATGACTCGCGCGACATCTTGTCAGCGCCAGATGTAAGCAGTGCTGTACAGTGCTGTGCTTCAATGTCTTTCCCCACCAACACCGCAAAACAACCACGACATACATATTCGCAAAGCGTATTGAAGCCTCTCTGTCTAAAATGTGTATAGTATGTGACAGCGGCTGCAATGTATTCAGGGTGGCCGCACATGGTGTAGCACTTTTGGCCCTGACGCTGACGACACATTGCGACGCCACACTCGCCCGCATTCTGACGCTGCATGCCCTGACGCCGCGCTCCCCCCTGACGCCACTTCGCCGGCGACGCCGCATTGTGACGACACATTCTCTGATGCCGCATTCCCCCCTGACGCCACATTCCCCGGTGACGCCGCATTCGGACGACACATTCCGTGACACCACATTCCCCCCTGACTGCCACATTCCGCGGTGACGCCGCATTCTGACGACACATTCCGTGACGCCACATTCCCCCCCCTGACGCCGCACTCTGACGCCACATGCCCCAGAAGTCATATTCAGCTCTGGCTTTTTGATGGGTTTGGTCCACTAAAATGGCCCCTGGGCCGGGGGGGCCGTTTGAAGAGTGTTTACAGCCCGATAGGCATGGTATCTAATGGACTCCAGTAGCAAGACAACGGCATAGGCCTGCATGGCTGTGTATCAAAACCCATCAACCCCCCATAGTTCTCCGGGGTGAACAACTTTTCATCACAGGTTCATGGAGGAGATCAAACCCACATGTTGGCCGATGTGCCTGCTTGGGTGAAAGAAAGCTTGTCATTGCCTTTCAAGAGTCGGCGTTGATTTCTCAGGCTAACACAATAAGACAATAAGATCACAATCAGCAGCGATCGGATCTGCTTGCGCACTTGGGTGCCGAAACAGACTCCAAATTCCATTTTGGTTGAAGCATGGTTCATCTGCGTTCTCTCCCTTGCAACTGCATCTTTCTCATGAGGCAGCTAGGTTTCAAAGCCAGGCCTGCAACATAACTATCCGAGTGACGCGTTCCTGGAGTGTGAAACCAACAGGGGACACAACTGCCCGAAAGTGACGGTTCCACTCAGCATCCATCACAATTGGGAAATGCTCGAAGACTACCTGGTTGAACACCTGCTGGTGCCTCGCAGGCTGTCCAATTGATCCTTTTCTGCCTCCCTGGTGCCTCCCTGGTGCCTTCCAGGCTGCCAAGTGGTGATAAATCGGGACCACGTGACATGGAACTCTTGTATGTTTTTGAACCGTTCTCGTCTCCATCGAACGACGTGGGGGACGCACCAGGATCAATCGCGGTGACTGTCACTCAATGTGGCTTTCGCCCGTTCACTCTGTGCTGCCCTACGATGTCCCTGCGGTAGCGTGGCGCAGCGTGGTCCGAGAGGGCCCACAGTAGCTGGGCCTGTTCTTTGGCTGGGCACGGAAAGCATCTGGAAACGAACGACAGTGCCACTCAAATAACCCCTATAGGCCAATCGCGCTGACCGCACTCTCTTTTGACCCCCACACAGCCCAACACGAGCTTCAGTTTGGAAAGCTTTCAGATTTCACGACCAAGTGATGCCTGTGCTGTGCTGCTTTGTCATCATGAGTTCACAGAGCTTTTTTCTGCCACCGCCCCTTCATTGGTCCTCTTGTCACTTTGTATTTGGCGGAGCCGTTTTTGTCGGCTTTGCAAATCAACCCCTTTTCGTTGAGTTCCGTCATGGCTTGTTGCAGGTGCTCTGCGGGCTTTTTCATGGCCGTCAGTGGCTTCCTGTTGCGAAGAGCATCACGCAACGAAGCCACACTGATCACCTCCTCCGCTGCCGTGGTTTGTAAGATGATATTTTGGAGCTGCTCACCCATTGTCAAGTCCGCGAAGCCTAGTCACGACATGCTTTTTAGGGACAAGAGTAGGGTTCATGCAGTTGCTACAAAAGATATGCGCCAGTTTCAAAATCTATTCTAGGTTGGTGCTGTATTTATAGATGAAGTACGGTCCTATGATTTGTCTGGTTTCGGCACCTGTTGCGTAATGCAAATATAATAGTATATGGTATTTATTGGGCTATCGGGGTGTCCCAATGCGTGAAATTATAGGACGATAATTTTGAGTCTGACTCATATGTATTTGGTTGCGGGATTGTTTTTGTTTTCTCGCGCGTCACCCGGCGCATGTCTCGCCTCCTTCTCGGGCACCGGTGCTTCGAGCGACCAGTTCTGCAACCGTGTTTTCGCGAGGCATAGGCATTTGCTTCTTGATGTCATCGAGAAAGATGTAGAGTCCATGGTGGAGTTGCATCTGCCTTCTCCACCGGTGCGATGCGGCCAGCAACTCATCGACTTGGATGGTACTCCTTAGCTGCTGCCCTGTCAAACTGATTCAGCCGTGCAATGCGCAAGGACTTTCTGAGGATGTCTGTGCGGAACCACTCTAGCTTGATGCGCATGGTCCGAAGGACGTTTGGTCATGAATGAATACAGCTTAAGCAAGCAATTGGATTCGTTTCCGCATCTTGTTCCGGTACTTCTGCAGGACCTGCGTGCAAGCAAACTCTGGCAATCTGTCTGCCGGAGTTTTTGGTTCAATGTCTTCAAAGAGTCCTAGCACGAGTGTTTCCCCTTCGGGAAGAGGCGCAGCACGAAAAAATTGGTGCGACGAATTTGGGCTGCTGTACGCGGCATGCTACGAAAGGGATGATTCAGTACTTTGCACTTTACACGTATCCAGCGGTATCAAATTTTGCTGTGGTCAGATGGGAGTCCCCAGGGGAGCTCCGGTTCGCTACTTGGGCCAAGGGCGGGACATCTCCGCCCCCAACAGTGTTTGACACACAACGATTTTTTTGGTGGCTGGCAGCCAGTGGCTTCCTGTTGCGAAGAGCATCACGCAACGAAGCCACACTGATCACCTCCTCCGCTGCCGTGGTTTGTAAGATGATATGCTGGAGCTGCTCACCCATTGTCAAGTCCGCGAAGCCTAGTCACGACATGCTTTTTAGGGACAAGAGTAGGGTTCATGCAGTTGCTACAAAGATATGAGCCAGTTTCAAAATCTATTCTAGGTTGGTGCTGTATTTATAGATGAAGTACGGTCCTATGATTTCTCTGGTTTCGGCACCTGTTGTCTTCGGGGGGGCAAGTCGTCTTCGCTTCGGGTCTTCGTGAATGCGTCTTCGGAATTCGTCTTCGTCTGCAGTTGGACATGTTCTACGCCCCCAGCGGCTGCAATGTATTAATAGATTGATAGATAGATTAGATATGTCGATGCGCAGTAATGCACCACACAGCAGACCGAACAGCAACAAGAGCAGCACAGCAATAAACATCAACAGAAGCAACGAGCAGAAAAGCAGCAAGAGCAGCAAAACAACCAAAGCAACAAAAAACAAAAGAGCCGAGTTAAAAGCAAAAACCAAGGCAAACACCAAAAGCAAAAAGAACAACAAAATGAAAACACAGCAAAAGCAAATCAGCAAAAGCAAAAAAAAGGAGCAAAAGCAAAAAGAGGGGAAAGCAAAAGCAAACAGCAAAAGATAGCAAACGCAAAAAGCAGAAGAACACCAAAAGGAACAAAAGCAAAGCAGCAACCAAGGCAAATTGCAGCAAAAGCAAAGCAACAAAAAAACATCTGAAACCAATTAAACATACACACTAAAAACATACTCACCCGAAAGGAAATCCAACATGAAATTGCCAAACGTCACCCCCCCTCGCTTGTTTGAAAACGGCTAAGGGAGATCCAAAGTGGTTGAGGATTTTCAGATGTCCGTCGAGCCGAGCGTTGTTGTCCCGAGTGAACCACTGTAAGTAATCACTTGGCAACTCAGGGTTACCCCTGTGAAGTACAAACTGGTCTGAAACGAACGAAATACCACGAAGATCCACCAAGAACTGTCTCAGTCATCTCTAAATTGGACATTCTGACAGCCCCTTTTCTCTTGAGGTCCCTTGATCATTTGGCTAAAGAAAGACATACTCGGCCCCACTGGCAAAGCCTCGCGCAGAACGCACACATTCACAGGGGCCCCAAGAGTGGTTTTTCCTTTCGTTTTGGACTCCGACAGAGGTCGGAAGAGATAGGATCCTACAGAGGTTAAGTGACCTTATAGTACCCTACAGGAGTACCTATAGGATAGTCTATAGGGTTCTTCAACCTCTGCTGGATGGTCTTCCCACCTTTTCTGTTCCATTAGGGCTAGCAGGCTACTATGGGTGCTCTAAGTCGGATGAAACCCACCGTTTCCAGCCTTTCTGACCGGCCCCGATTTGGTGAAGATGTTTGCTTCGTACTCCAAACCCCTGCAAGGGCAGGCAGGGTCAATTGGACGTATGCCAAGCCATCCGATTTTAGCCGTATCCACTCCATTCGGTCCAGGTCTTTCGATTTAAGGCACCATCCCAGTCATCGCGATCGGCTTCGTTGTAGTGATCCGGCGCCAGCCTTTTCAGCACCCGCCAAACGCGAGCGAAACGGGTTGACACCGCGGAAGCTTCTAATAGCTCCTAGTACCAATGGCATTACTACTATAGTAACAAGAAGCTGCTAGTAGCAAAGTGCATCGCTACGAACGCAGCTTATTGTTACTATGATAGTAATTCCCTTGTTATTTATAGTAGTGATGCCCTTGCTACTATAGACTATAGACTCGGACCGATTGAAAAGACATCTCTCAGGTTCCGCGGAGGTTTTATCATGTCTGGACATGTACTGGCATATATTCCATACCCAGAGGCGACCCTGGACCCGAACCAACTGCTACATGTTGGAGGTCCAAAACCCTGGCTGTGAGGGTCAAAACCGTGCCGCTATGAGGGTCCAATGAGCCTTTGGGTACATGGATTGAACATCTTCCTCATGTGCGGTGTTGATTCGTCTATAAACGAGCTATTCGATTGCGCCCGAATTCGATCGTACACGTACACGCAACGGATTCCATTGGGTGACTATACTTCCTTCACCCAAATCCAATTCCAGACACTTCATGTCAATATATGGCATATATGGCATACATGGAGTGTCTGGGATTGGGGATTTGCACCAAACCTGAAAAGCGAACCCAACTCCACCGGCTCCATCGCGAAGAAATGAGGAAGCCCCTAAAAACGCTGGAGCACTTGCTTCAATCATGTTTGGCCTCACTTGCTTCCTCCGATCTCTTATGCCATCTGGAGAGATGCTCAGATGAGGTCTCTGGATTCTCACCCCTCCCGGATGCTTTGCGCTGGACGTTTCCCACGGGCCCGTGCTTCCCCGATCCACGGGTGGCGCACCAGTGCGAGCTCGTCATGCAGCAGGCCACGGGCGCGTCGTCCGCGGCGAAGATGCGCCGCCTGGGCGCGGCGCAACGCGGCGAACGCGAACGCGGCGCCAGGTCGGGAGCCGGAGCGCAAGTCATCAGTGATGGTCTGAGGTGGATATTGTGGAGATACCTCAGTTCTAGGGGAAACCTGGAGGAAAAACAACAAACTCACATCCACCACCCGGACACGACACATGGGACTGCCATACAATATGCCTACATTGACCCCCCTGGCACCTCCCCAATGTAGGCATAGCATACATGGAGTGTGCCATGGTTCTTCCGTTCGCAAAACCCTTTCAGATTTGTCTGTTGGCTCGGGTCTGCTTCGCAACTTGATGCTTTCCCCCCATGGAACTCCGCCCAGTCAGGCCTGTTGAAGACTCCTCATGACGATCCCTCGATGACGATCTCTCAGTCTGGTGTGTTCGTGACGCGGGCCCACTTGCCACCAAAAGCCTTCCCCAAACCGAGCACTCAAGGAGCATCATCAAACACGACCCCATCGAGCTGGCATATTTAGCGCGCGATATGGCTATATTTAGCTATTTTTGGTTCTAATTCGTTTAAGAGGTCTATACACTTCCATGTAGCATGCCATATATGAGCGTCATCACTTGGCTCCTGACTGCACATCTCTTCACCTCGACTCTTACCGCTTCAGAGGTTGAAGGACCTTAGTAGACTATCCCATACGTACCCCAGGTACGGTCCCTTTTCAGGTTTCTTCACCTCTCTGGCCTGGCCTCCCTCAACTTCAACCACGCTTCCCTCAACGCGCTAGGCGTACCACGTCTCGCGTCTCGTGCGACACCGACACACGACACGCCGATCTCCACGACGTCCGGACCGAATGGATCTCGCTGCCCAGAGGCTCGGTGATCTTGGGCCAGAGCTGCGGCGCTTGGGCGCCTGAGTGAAGATGAGACAGACGCATTCAAGACACCTGCAGTGACGTGGGGGGGTTCGGAGCAGAGCGTGTATTGGTTGGGACTCTTGAGCCTTTTAAAGGTTCGCAAATATAAGAGGTTTGTTCATGTTCTTTGTTATATACTATACATGGCCTGCAATCCAAGTGACAACAAGAAGCACAATCCAAGGGGTGGAATGGGATCTTCTCCCCAACCAACTCCCTTCACCATCTGCTGATCGACGGAACTCGTCGAATTTTTGGGAGCGTTTCAAGAGAGGTAGGTAGCCAGTGACCGGGACCATAGGACCCGGAAAACCTGGGGTACCCTGGCCTGGGATAGTCTACGGGGGTTCTGACCCACCTCTGTTGGGTTTCTTGTGGAATGGTTTCCTCTGCTGTGATGATTGCTGTGATGCTTGGAGGGCGTGATCATAGCATTGCTATTGCCTGTGTATTGATCGATTGACTCCAAAAATATTCAAAAAACACCCAGTTGGGCAACAGCATGATACAAACCTTTTGATGTCAAGTTGGGCAAGAAAGCATTGGACACCAATCGTTGTTGATGGACAAGTCCATCCTGCATTCCTGCATTCCTCCGGCCATCTCTTCGAGTTTCGTGAGCCTTCTAGAGACCGTTGAGACGTCTTTTTAATGCATCAAAATCGCCCAACGTATCTGCAACTTCAGAGTTTCAATCATACCACCAGAGGTTGAAAGACCTTGTAGACTATCCCAATTGGGTACCCCAGGTCCGACCGGGTCCTTTATAGGTTGGTTTCTTAACCTCGGTATTGCACACCGCAACTGAACCCTCCAGCTTCTTCCGAAGAAGTGACCAAACTGAACCCCTATGAACCCCTCATCTGTCTGGGGCGGCAGTCCTATGGCAGTCCCATGTGTCGTGTCCGGGTGGTGGATGTGAGTTTGTTGTTTTCCCTCCAGGTTTCCTCTAGAACTGAGGTATCTCCGCAATATCCACCTCAGACCATCATGGTGGATGTTGGTTGTTTGTTGGGCGTTCTAGAAGTGACAGATCCATCACTGAGCTCTCCCCGACTGTTCCACCTGACAGATCCATCACTGCTTTTGTTTTTTCCGACTTCGTTCGCCCTCCCAAATCCTCCACTCCGTCCGCCCCCGTGTGGCCCGTGTGGCCCACCGGCACCGCCCGCGCTCCGGCTCAGGTCGCGACGGATCTGGCTCCGCGGCGCGCGGAGAACGCTGGAGACTTGGAGGCGGCGGAGCAGGACTTCCTGGGAGGTTAGGACTTGCATCGAACGAGAACTGCTGCAGTGAGACACTTAGAAGAAGAAGCATCTGGTCTGGTCTAAGAGAAGAGAGCTGTGAGACACTTCCCCTATAGACATCATATATATGTTATATATGTCCTTTATGTCAATCAAGCTCTATACTAAATGTTGCAGCTTTGAGATCCACTGAAGACGGGGAACAGAAAGACTATTTCCCAAACACTCCATGGGACTGCCATAGGGGTCAATGTAGGCACATATTCCATACATGGAGTGTATATGGGTTTCTAAAATAGTACGACTCTGGATCTCCAGGTGTTCAGGTAATTGTCTCAGAACTCAGAACTCGGTAGGAAGCGGTTTTCCTCCGATCCAGCCAGTCAGGTTCATATCTCTCATGTCTCCTGTTTGAGGAAGCGGTTTTCATTCGAAGAGTTGACTGGTTCAACTCTCTTGTAGTCTAGGAATCCTACCCAGCGGCAACCCCTTCAGGCGCGAACCAGTTGACTGCTGCATGTTGGTTTTTGACCCTCACTAGCGAACCATGAGGGTCTAATGAGTCTGTGGGTAGTGGGTCAGGGTGGGCCAGGAAATTAACCATGGCCTACAAATCTTCCAAAACAAAGAATAAACTGGGACACCCATGCGCATGAACTCTCCCTCTACAGCTTGCACAGCTTTCCACCAGAAACCCACTGTTTTGTGCCCGGGCCACACAGGTCCAGTCGCTGCGCAGCAAAGTTCGATAGGCCTTCCCTCAGGTTCGATAGGCTGGAGATGGTTTCCAGTGACATGCAAACAGGCCCTAGGGATCCAACCTAGGGATCCAACCTAGGGATCCAAGTACCTTCTCAGGTTCGGTGATTGGAGGAACTGTTATGTAGGTGCCCAGTCACGTCGGGTCCAGTCGTACCGAACCTGAGGTTCGGTACGAAAACGGATCCCTGAGGTTCGGTGGAGTTCCCATAGTTTCACAGGTCTGGACCGAGGATCAGAACGACGCGTCTTACGCCGCTATCCAATTCGACCATCTTTTTCACCAAAGTACAGGAACTTCCCCACCCCTCGGGTCCAGGGTACTTCTTCTCAACTCGATTTGCTGCTTCTGACTCGACCGAGGCCGAACATCAGTTCGACACGCCCAAAGGTGTTCCCCTTTTTTGTCGAACTGAACTCTCAGGTTTTCTGCTCCAGATCGCCAGTCGAACGAAGGTTTCAACAGAGGTTGGACCCTATAAGTCGACTATCCCAGGCAGACCGGGATACCCCAGGTGGACCGGGATACCCCCGGTGGAGGTTGGGTCCTTTTTCAGGTCACGAAAAACCTCTCGTCTTGTGTCCGGTGTCTTGAACGCAGAAGTCTGGACCTCGCGATGAGGATCATCCACGAAACCGTTTCCGCCGAATTGACCCTCCGAGTCCAACAAAGAACGCGGCCATTGTTTGGCTGATGCGGCCGGGTGGTTTTGGTGACCTCCATGGCGGCTGTTTGATGGCCCGCCGCCTCGGTCGGTTCTTGTTGTAATGTAGGGGCTCTTGATTAATGACCCCCCCCTCGTATGAAGAGGATGTCCAATTCCAATGAGGAGGGGTCATTGATCTTATAGGAGTCTTGTTTTCTATCTTTCTCGCCTTCATGGACGCCCAGGCAGTGGAAGGAGATCGGAAACTCGGGCGTCCCTTCGTCCTGTTCCTCAGCCAGCGATGCGGGTCGTCCACGGGTCGTCGCGATGCTTTGGTGGACGAAGCTCAGCATTTGCCACGAGCTGAGTCAAACGATGCGAAAGAGCTCGGTATAATATAAAGATATATAATATAAAGCTATCCCAAACGTTACATTGACCCCCAGTCAAGCACCCCTGGCCGTTTTGAAGGCAGTCCGACATGGCCGTCCTATGTGTCGTGTCTTGGTATTATACCGAGGGGGTCAGGAAATGTTTGGGGGAGTGGAATCAGTGGAATCGACTGATAGGGGTTAGGTCCTCCTGAAGGGTCAGGTATAGCTGAGTCAATGGTGGGCCGGGAGTCGTCTACCGGGCTTTGGGGAGTGAGGAACATCACACGACAACGGTGTCACGAACGAGTTGGTTTTGGCAAACGTGTGGTTCTCTCCCTGCTGTTTGTGGAGTTTCATGAGGGAGACGTTGGTCCGGACACATGTACGGACTTGGAACACGTCATTCTTCATCTATCCGGGCACCAAATAGATAAATCAACTGCCCAAAGGAATCGACTTCCCACTGCTCCAGGAAAATAGATACTCCAAAATGCACTCAAAAGGCATCAAACAGAGTTATAGCTTCAAACAATTCCCGATCGCATTTTCCTATCATTGTCATACTACGTCTTTTTGCTGTTGCCAAGTTCTTCAAGCAATGGTTTCATGTCCTGTCAAGCTTAGGTCCTGTCATGTAACAAATCCTCTCAGTCAGGTCCTGTCATCATGCTTACGATTTGTCTGGTCTTTGTCCCAACGAGCTCCCCATTCTGCCTTTCTGCGAACCAACGGCAATCAAAACAAGTGGAACAACACCTGTTTTTTCCGTGTGTAGATCAAACGTAACAAAGTACCCTCCCTGGAATAAGCATGGAAGTGGTGAACTCACCACTGGTTTGGCAAAGGATTTCATGTCCTTTCCACTTCCGTACCCCAAAACATACACTCTCCCTGGGAGCAACACTGCACTCTCCCCATCAACAAACAACACCCACAAAGGACCGTGGCGCCCCCCTTGACGGTCTGTTCCAGGCGTCAGAGGTAGCGATTTTCACTCCGGATGTGCAGGCAGAGGTGGCGACATTGGGCGGAGAAGAGTGTGACATTCCAAATGTCCGCCTCTGAGGGGTCTCTAAACAAACATCAGAGGCAGCACATTTTCCTGCTGGGAAGCTGACTGATTGAAACCACGGCTCCCTCCACAAAAACACCCTGACCCGGAGCCTCCATTCAAAAACAAAAAAACAAGACCCTTCAAAACCTCTAGAAGTCCAACAGCATTCAAGAACATGATTGAATTCCAATCTCTTAAATATCAAGACCCTAAAAAGGATATAACAAGAACAAGACCATTTATATATTTACCTCCACTAAACCTCAAGAAACATGTCCTGTCTCGAACCAGGTGATGGTCTGCCACTCTCCAGCAGCAGCATTCCGATTTCCATCCCAGTGGCCGTCATCCAAAGCTCCTCTCCTTAACTGGTCGAACGTACGGCGAACGGTTTTTTCAGATGGCCAGTTCTGAACGGCCATTCTTTTTTCGATTGCGAATACTTACCAAGGTCGAGATACTGAGCCTAGCCTTCCATGTTGTATATTTCAGTTGGTTGACCTCGTTTTGTAATGTAACAAGCCTAGTGTAAACTTCTCATGAACAAGAGGACGGTCAGCTTCTCATGCTTGAGAAAATACCTCGACCACTTCCGAACTGCCAGGAGTTGAAGGAGTTCTTTTTACTGGAAGGGGAGTCTTTTGGGGTCTGTTACGAACACGGTAAAACTCCAGTAAAGCTGTAAAACTTCCAACACGTCCTTAGGTAGTAACAAGTGCATCGCTACTAGTACCACGCTTTTCCGGAAGGCTCAACCACCCTCGTTCCACCGGCCGTGCCGGTCGCACCGGCAATCCGCCGCTCGACGGGCAGGAGTTGCACCCAGCGTCTCATGGAACTCACCTTCCGCGCCGCGGAGAGGTCCCCATGGAGCAGCCTTCGGTGGGCTACGTGGGCGATCCGAAGTACACCGGCAGGATCTGTACACCATCTGCAGGATCTGGGCATATCTGGAGCATAGAGTATCTGTGGTTTGGATTTGCATGGATTTGCTTTTTGTTGAGGTCTCTGATCCGTTTCTTGTCAAGTTTGTATCATGGTCCATCAAGAGCCATCCCAAAAGAGTTTGGTTGATAGTATATTTCTGTCATCCAGCTCATCCTGAGTCACTGAGTCGGACCGGGTGGTGCTTCAACAAGTTGCTTGCATGGGGATTTCGTGATGTTTACTTGGTAAGTGTGCATCCATTTGATAGAATCACCTCCAAGGGTTTCCAACAGTTGTCGTTTAGAACTATTCAAACAACACACACCCTCTTCAGGCAAGAAAAACACATCAACTTCCATCACACGCTGCAGAAGCCTAGAAACTACCACATTCCAACCCCCACCACCAGGCTCAGCCCTGACCAGACAAACCATGTCGGCCACGTGCCAAGGAACATCAAGGCACCTCCACTGTGGACATAGACTTCTCCATTGGGCCCTGGTAGGAGCGGAGAAGTCTCCTCGCAGGATGATGTGAAGGGCATGGCATGGCATGGACCAAATCGCGGAAGCCAGGAAGCCAAAAGAAGATCCATGTCTTAGGTGTAGGCTTCAACTAACCAGGAACTGGTGAAGAGGTTTTTTGTTTCAGTTCTATCATGCTCTAAGTCTATATAGGCCTTTGAGGACTCATCTCATTGGGTTTTGACCTGGCGAATGGCTGGTACATGTTACAAGACCACGGAAAACATCCCAAACAATAAAATATCGTATCACGGGTAGTGATCTTTTGGTGGAACTTCCAATGATTCCCTCATCCCAAAATGACAACAATGGCTTCACTCGCCACCCACCGGAGTAGCCATGCCCTAGGATTCCTGGCCATTGATTTCATGGTTTGTACAACCACGGATGTACTCAGCATTTTCGACGACAACACCAGGTCAACGGAACTCTTTGAACCAACGGCCTTGGAGGCCCCCTTTCGTGCTGCTCAGCTTCAGCCACGGATTCGCTCTGGGCAGAGCTGGGGAACCAGAAGCGGAGCTGGTCAGCAGGGCCATCCACGCAGCCGCGCTTCCTAAGATGAACGAGGAATCGGGATGGACATCAGCCAATTGAACCCCTAGGATTGGAAGAACCCTTGTTTTAAGGGTATTGACTGAACCAACCATGGTTTTCCTAAGTTTTCCTAAGGAGTCCATGGTTTTCCCAAGGAGTTTTTACACGAATTACACCAGGTCAACATATGTCACCCGTTCTCTTAATGGCCTTTGAAGGCTACGGGGAACACTGGATGGAAGATCAACTACACCGGGGTGAACCACGGGGACCAGTCTTGGTGCTTGAACTCGACATGATCTACCGTGACCCTCCATATACCTGGACCTTCCAACTGGAACAACTTCAGGCCATGGCATGTTGTAACTATAATCATTCATAACAGCCAAGTTAGGCAGAATTTCGGCATTGTGGGAAGATCCAGGTGTGTGAAATGATCATGTAACATGCAGTTCCCAAGGGCTGCAGTGCTTCAAGGGCAGAGGTGGCCACCCCGACACCGAGACCAATGAGAAATGCCTGACCAAAGATCACGGTTCGCTGAACTGTCCACCTAGGTTGGATATGTTTGTCGTATTTTTTCTGGGAAAACAAAAGCAATCCAATTCCCAAGAGAACTTCTCCACCCAACATCCCATTCCCTAAGAGGAAACCTATAGGGATAACATCGTTCAGAACCAAAACATCGTTCACAGCTATAGCACACGACGACCACGAAATACCGCACCCAGAGATAGCCAACGCCTTCGCATTCGATGAAAGCCCACTTGGATCCACAAACGAGCCCGGCCAATCCGGGCGTCTCCAGATCGCCCAACGTGGCTTCCGTCCAAGGTCCCTTGGCCATCGACGCGAGCGGCGCGGGTGTCCGGGTGACCCAAACGGGACTGGAGACTGAAAGAATGTTGGACACATGGAGAGGTTCAGAAACTCCGAGTTTAAGAAGGTATCAGGGGACTTGGGAATTGTTCTTTTGTTCCTATTCCCCTTCAAGCCACTGGAGGCACTTCAGCAACTGCGCACTCATATTGCGTCTGGAAGCAAGTTCGTCGACTAGGGTAACCTCCCAAGACGGTGGAAACGACCAAAACATGCCAAAACCCAAGACGGCCAAGCCCGGTAACCCCGAACCAGAAACCCACCAAGTTGGGTTGAGAATACTAAATACTATACCAGCGCCCCCGGATAGGGGTGTTCAATAATTATTAATAGCTCCTTAGAGGTCCATGTCTATTAACCACCCCTTAGGGGGCCCTGGTAGAGGACCCTGTGGTGGTACATCCCTGGGATGGGTCCCCAACAAGGGCAGTTTTCACGTGTCCGTCGCGAGGTCCAAGCAACAGTCTTCTCCTTCTGATAGACGTGGATCGCATGACTTCCTCGGCATTGCCACGTCGAGCGAAGAAAACAACACGTTAACATCCGGATGCATCGAACCGATCGAACAATTGGTGGCCCCTATCTTTGGCACCTGCAGGTGGAATAGAGCCATGTGGTCAAGGCAGTAGCCACACATCATCACTCGCTCCCGTACCCGCTCCGCATCTCAAAGCCCGAGCTTCCCACGAAGGTGATCAGCACCGCGTCCCGCGTGGTGCACCACGCGATGCTCGTCGCGCGCTGCGAGGCACCCAGCGAGGTCAGGGGGAACTCTTCAAGGATGGAGTCCTTGACTCGGTGGTGGGCGGGTGCCAGGAGGGTCCCGTCATACATTGTGAGAAGGTACGGCTGGAGCCCTAGGGTATAAGATTCCTGGCCCACCGTGAATTCAACGGCTCTTACCAAACAAGTTCTTACCGAACCAGTGAGTCGCTGACTCAGGATTTGACACTCCAAAAACCAGGTCTGTCAAAACTGTTTTTGGATGTGGTCCAACGTTTGAAGGCGAATGGGGTGCAAGTGTTTCTTGGTGCCTTTGCCCCCGAGTCTGGACCCGCTGTTGTTGCTCGGATTTGGATGCCTCACAACGGATTTGGATGGATATACCGACGTTCCACACGCCGGCGCCGCAGTCCACGCCCTGCATGCCGAACAAAACCATCGTTCTGTATGGTTCCGTGGAATTGAACACCTTTATATACACTCAGGCACTTGCACTGCTGAACTCTCGGATAGGACATCTTGTGACACCGATGTCCTAACAAAAAAGCAGTTATACCAGGGCCCCCGGTGGTTTGGGGTGGTGAATAGACACCCATGTTCACCTCTAAGGAGCTATTATTGAACACCCCTCTCCGGGGGCCCTGGTATAGAGTATGTTGACCAACTCTCCACATCTTCGCAGAATTGCATGTTTTGGGGACTCCCACTGACTGGAGGGATCTTTGACTCCCACAGACTTGAGGTTTTTGAGTCGGAACTCACAGGAGGTTCTTTCGGAATGAACCCACACTCTTTCGCTGAGCCGACTAACTGAGTGGTACCTTGCTGGTACCTTGCGAATAGCCCTTGCTGCCGGGCATCTGCAGCGGATTGGAATCCTGGACCGGCGAACTGCAAAACGAACTGCAGAACTGCACAACTCGTCGGACAAATGCCCCGTACCTACACCCTTGCCTTCGAAGACTATCTAAAACACTTGACCTTGTTTTGAATTGGTTGTTGGGTAAAACGGTAAAACCTTTTAAAAACCAAAGCAGGCCAGGAACCCTAATTACATTGAAGGCTAAGGTGGACCCAAAGGAAGAGGACCCTAGCTCAACATGCTCCAGAGATTGATTTTGGTTGATGATGGGCTTTGGGAAGGTGTTCCCTGACAATGTCAAACTCGATCCCTTTGGACAACCGACACACGTAAAGCAAGTTCACATCTATACTGCATGTGAATAAACATGCAGCATGCATGTAGCCTCTCATGGACACTCTGTGTGCAAACCTCAGGAGACCTCTCCAAACTGACTCCAATTGGACAAAGCTTGGAAGGGACCTTCGTTGGCAGCCTTGGACCCGACAGTGCGAGGAGTACGAGGACACACGAGGCTTTTTTGCGGGCCCACCGTTCTCTCCCAGCCTCCGAACGTAGCTCCGTGCGTTCAGATGTCCGATTTCGGTTTTCAGAAACCCAGGTCGACCGCCAGAGGATTCAGGTCACTTCCTTGAGGCTGGTGGGTCACCAAGTTGTTGGCTTCAGCACCCACCAGTTGACGTCGACGTCCACGTCTCCCGTCGCGTCGCGTCCCCAGCGTTGAGACCGGTGCGAACTCGACCAGAGCTCCAGCCGAGAAGCCTCGGAGCTTCTGGAAGACCACCTGGGATGGTGGCAGGTCCGAAAAAGACATGAGTGATTGATAGTGATTCCCTAGGGATCCAGTCGTACCGAACCTCAGGTTCGGTGATTGGAGGAACTGTTATGTAGGTTTGGAGGTCCAAGTAC